TCACCCTACATGAATCCCCACTAAATAGCTGCTTTTGTATTTATCACTTATTAAAACTTTGTCTCCTTAATTAGTAGTCATTGTTTTATAGTAAAACTAGAGGCCTGGTGCATGAAATTTGTGCACTTAGCGGGGGGGTCCCTCAGACCGGCCTGTGCCCTCTCGCAGTCCGGGAGCCCTCGGGGGGAATGGCCAACTGACATGGAGGCTGAAGAGGCTCCCGCCACCACCACTGTGCTCACCAGCCGTGAGCCTGGCTTCTGGCTGAGCGGTGCTTCCTGTTGGAGCGCACTGACTACCTGGGGGCAGCTCCTGCATTGAGTATCTACCCCCTGGTGGTCAGTGCACGTCATCGCGACCGGTCGATCCGCCGTTCAGTTGATTTGCATATTAGCCTTTTATTATATAGGATGTTTGAATAAAACCTTGACCTCTTCATTCCTAGTAACTAAAAACTGTTTCTAGTTAAATGTTAATGGTCTTACTATGGGGCTTGTTAAAGAATTGCTTATGGACGCAATTGAAATACTGAAGTAAATGGCTTTCTCAGGTTTTTACCTTCCGGTGCTCGAAAAAGGGGTGTAAGAAGAAAGAGATGCTGCCAGTGGCTTGTGACCAGTGTCGTGGCAACTTCTGTATTCAACACAGACATCCTCTGGATCATAGCTGCACACGCGGGAGCAGAGCCGTCAGCATCGGGGGGTGAGAAGTCCCAGCCGGGGCGCTGGCCTGACGCCTCCCCTGACGAGGGTAGAGCCAGCTTCCCGCCCACGGAGGGCGGCGAGCAGCCTGGAGCGTTGTTCTCTGTCAAGTGGTGGATGCAGGAGTTTGCATGAATATGATCTTCATTAAAGTTGGATTCTAAATTAAAGTTGGAGTCTAGCTGTGTTGTTTCCTGGGGCGGCCGTAACAAAGAACCACTAACGTGGCTCAAACAACAGGATTCCTCGTCTCAGTTCCAGTTCTGGAGGCTGAAGCTGAGATCAGGGTGTCAGGGCTGGTTCCCCTGGAGGTTCTGAGGGGGAGTCTGTGCCAGCCTCTCCCCTCGCTGCTTGGGCGCTGTCAGTCTTGGCGTCCTTGGCTTGTAGACATCAGCCCGTCTGTCCACGTTCACATGGTGCTCTCCCTGTGCCCAATGTCCCCTTCTTATGAGCCCACCCACAGCCCTGTGACTCATCTTAGCCAATGACATCACAGCGGCCCTGCATCCAGAAGAGGTCACGTTCTCATGCTCCGAGGGCTAGGACTCAGCCTGCCGTTTGGGGGACACAGTTGAGCCCACTCACTGGTGTTAACCAGAGGACTTCGTTGGGTCAGTAGAAGCATCTGCCTAAACTTGCTGTGGAATAGAAATGGGAGTTCTTTTTTAGTTGCTTTTGCTTGTTACACTCCCGTCTGTGGGCTCAGGGTTGACTCTGCCCTAACTGCCTGTAGCTCCGTGGGAAGCTGGGAAGGCGTTGGCTGATGGTGGGTCTAACCTTTCCGTGCAGGTGTCCAGCTGCGAGAGCCTCTGAATCCGAACCGTCGGGCCCTTTGAACACACTGCCACCCCGCTGGCTGGCTCAGCAACTCAGGCGTTAGTCCAGATGGCACGCGTGGGTCTAGTGGCTTTTGGGGGGTGGGGGGAGGGAGGCAGGGCCCCAGGTTACAGGTGCAGCTGGTTCCCGAGCACCGTGGTCCAGCAGCGACATTTGAGGGTTTCTGCAGCACCATGTTGGGCTGACGTGCTCTGCACCTTAGTTAACGGGGCACGGGTAAGAAGTAAGTCGTCGTTTGTTCTCTTTCAGGTCGAAAGCGAGGTGATGACGCCTGGGCCTGCGCCAGCTGCAGAGGCTTGTTTCTGTGTCCCACCGCCCTTGTGGGGAACGTGGGTGCTCGGGCACTTTCATACTCCTCACGGCAAAGGTCTGAAACGAAACTTCCCCAATGAATACATAAGTCCTTTCCGCGAGATAAGCAATCCGAGGGCACTCCTACCCTAAGGTGGGTTACATTGCTCCACACCCTCCCTCCCTCCAAATAAAAGGAAGCGGCTTGAAGAGCAAGGGGCCGAGTGGGCCGGTCAGGGCGGCGCTGCCCGAGCTGTTTGTCAGGCCCTGACTCTGAAGAAGCTTCACCACCTAAACAGCAGAGAGGTGGTCGCACTTTGGCTTCCTCGTGGGGCTTCGGTAGTGGTGTGGCCGTCAGCTCAGGAAAGGGGGCGGCCCCACCCACCACCCACTCCCCTGAGAGTCTGTGACCGCACTGACCCCAAGCGGGACTGAGACTGGAACCTCAATGCGTGGCAAGAGAGCTCTCTCCTGGGACCTGGAGTGTTAGGAAGCGGGGGGCAGTGCTGTCCGAGTTAGCCCACTGGTCACCCAGCTGTGCACTCAGACACCCACTGGCCTGGGTTAGCAGATCCACGCAGTCACTCCTCTGGGTTCACAGCCCAGAAGGTGAGGAGGGGCTTGTGTTCAGTCCGATGTACAAGTGGGTGCTAGGGACTCTGTGCTCTTCTTGCGGGGTGTGTTCCAAATGCATCAGAATCGCCCAGAGGCGCTGTTAGAGCAGTGCAGGCCCCCCAGAGTGTGATTCTGGGGGCCTGGGTGGACCCTGAGAATTCCCACATCCAACAAGTTCCTGGGTGATGCTGCTGCATCGGAGCCACTGTGGTCACAGCCCATACAGCACGTGGAAGGCGCCAGCGCAGCCGGCACTGAGCTCTGGCTCTGTTCACCGTTAGAGCCATTGGCTTGATCCAGTTAGGAAAGTTGTAAGTCTGTTGGTAACTTGGGATGTGAACTGTACCTTTTGAACTGTAAACCATGAAATCTGAATATAGATCAGGTCTTTCTCATGAAAATTTCTGCCCAAGCTGAGAATAAAACGCTGGTTTTGAAAGCAATACCAAAAATTTTCAAAGTAAAATATCTCACTTAAAAACAGCTACATGTTGAAATGTATTTTGGATATGATGGATTAAATGAAATATTAAAGCTTTTTCACTGGTTTCCGTTTTGTTTTTTAACTGGTTACCAACGAGACATTTTAGAAACAGGTGGGTGGCTTGCATTCTGTCTGTTAGACAACGCTGCTCCTGATCCTTGCACTAAAGGAGAAAACCCACATCTTATCAGGAAGAATCGTCGTCTGCCTCTGGTCTGCTTCTGCCTGCAGGTGGGATTGGGGTGTCAGTGTCGCGGGAGCTCCAAGCACCCTGTGTCCTCGCGCAGGTGGCTCCAAGGGTGTGCAAGGCCAGGAGAGCAGGAGCCCCTGCTCCCTGCCCCTCCGCAGCACTGAGCCCTCACTCTGTTCCTTGCATCCCACAAGTTCTTGTCACTCACAAGTACCAAGGCCCTGGTCTGCCTGCCTTCCCAGCCTCTGTCATGAGCATCCACGTGAGCTAAGGTGCCACTGAGTGGCTCTGGACAGGGCATGAGGTTGTATGGGGCGGTGTGCCAAATGGGTAAGCCACATCGCACTGTACACTTCCACAGAGGGCCAGCATTCATATTTGTCGGAAGTTGGGGGAATGAATCCCTTTAGTGTCAGGAGTCTGCGTGCATTGTTGAGTGAAGCCCGAGCAGTAGGTCAGTGCTCCATCTCTGCCCAGGGCAGGAAGCTATGTTTTTTTCCGGTGGAGTCGTAAAGCCCAGTGGGAGAAGTTTTTTTGTGTGTTGTTTTTTTAAAAATATATTGATTTGAGAGAGGAAGAGAGAGGGAGAGAGAGAAATATCAATGATGAGAGAGAATTATTGATTGGCTGCCTCCTGCATGCCCCCTATAGAGGATGGAGCCGGCAACCCCGGATATGACCGGAATCAAACCCAGGACCCTCAGTCCACAGGCAACACTCTACCCACTGAGCCAAACCGGCTAGGGCCCAGTGGGAGCAGTGTGAATAGCTTTCCTTAGTCATAAAAATTGGACACGCTCATACCTGTGGCCCAGAAATTCTGAGTATGTGCCTTGCAGAGACATACCTGCACATTCCTGTCCAGCTGTCAAACCGCCCCCCCCGCCCCTTTGCAGTTCCCACCTTAGCAGTGGGCCACATAAGCGATCTTCCTTTCCTCCCATTCTCAAAGTGTCTGGACGGTTAAATATTTCTAAAAACCGAACGAACGAACGAGGATTTAACTCAGGTATCTACAACCCAGATGTTTAATTTTACCGGCTTCGATTCAGATACTAATCCGAATTTACAACACTCTTGCAGATACGGCTCTACTGCATTTGAAAACCTTCGCACACGTGTAATGTTGGTGACATTTAAACATTATACAGTTTAAATTACAGCATTTACAATTTATATACATTTATAATGTCTGAGACGAATCCCCGTGGACCACAACAGGCGTCGTTCATTCATTTAAGTCCAAGGGACCCAGCACCCGGCGGCCCCCCAGTCCCAGAGCCGCCGAGCCCAAGGCCAGAAGCCGAGTGGGGCC